ACGCAAATTCTTCTGCTAGTTGGGGTTTAGTCCAAATCTGCATCCTTTCCTTCAAGGCTCAGGGGTCCAAGATTATCTTCTGTGTCTGTGTTAATCGGTTTCCCTTTTCTTTGTTGAAGAGGGTCTGTGCAATCCTTCTGCCTAGTCCGCCATCTTGCCCCGCACCCTTACTGTTGATTTTTACTGAGTCTTTTTTTTTTGTTTTTGGTGAGTAGATTTATTAATTTTCTTTGTGTTTACTTTAAAATCTACCCTTATCTTCCTAAGATTAAAAGTCTGTTATATCTTGCTATTACCTTGGTTTCCTCTCCATATGGACTCACTCCTATCTTCTTTTGTTACCTCGCTTCTTTATTTGTCCTGCCAAACTATATGCAGTTTCACAAGACACTCTGTTTGCCCTCTTTACTTCTGCATTTCTATATTTTATGCATTGATGTTTCTTCATTGTTCTCTTTCTCCTTGTACCCTTTTACCCCCTAATGATAGCTAACATTTACTAAGTTATCTCATTTAACATTCACAGTGGGTCTAAATAGAATATGGTAGATACCGTTATCTCCATTTAATAGACAAAGTAACTGAGGTATAAGTAGATTGGTCTCAGTTACTTCATTATTATGTGACAGATTCAAGATCTAAGTTCTTACAACAATACTTCTCTTTTCATTCCATCCAGGCCACTGTGTTTACAGTTCCTGAAATACAACATGTTTGGTTCCAAATCCAAGTTATTAACCATGTTCTTATCCTTAGTCTGGAATGCCTTTTCATCTCAGTTCCATTTATTTTAATTCTATTAAGTCTTGCTTAAATCCTGCCTTCTCACAACCTTCTGAATGACCACTAATTTCCTATAGCAACTTCTGCTTATCAGTTACCTGAAGAATTATGTGTGTCTGCACACACTGTTTTGTGTGTACTGTCTTCCTAATTAGCTTATATGTCCCAGAACGTCAGGCACTTAAAAAAATATTCCCTGAGCATACAGCAAAGTGATACAGTCATTATAGCTAGCCAGTAAATTATGCAGTAGGGACTGAGCTCAAGTTCATACGTTTTATGAAATTGTTTGCCAAACATAGAGATCATTAGCCCAAACCCTTCACTTTAAAGATGAAAAGACAGGCTTGCAGTTAAGTAATTTACTAAAATAACACTATCAGAGATAGTACAGAATGTTTTCTGATTCCTAAAGGTGATCCATGGAACTATGTGATGATTAAAGAAAATAGGAATTATACTGAAATGCAATCTTTTATCTAACCAGTAATTTTTATACATTTAACTTCACATAAAACTATTCAACTATATACTGGTTTTGTAGAATTGGTAGTGGATTAAGTATAGTTTCAGAGTTAAAACACATTTAAATCACACAAAACTCTGGTTTGGCTTTGCACTGTTTTTTTTTTAACTTATAGATGCTATAGGCAGAATCAGGACTGTTATCTTTGTTTGCATGTACAAAAATAGCATGGTGCCAAAATTTTAGTATGCTGTTTCAGGAACCCTCTGGTGGAAGTATTTTTGAAAAGAAAAGCCATTTTCTAATAACGTTCTAGTATTACAAAAAGAACAATGGCAAAAACAAATGAAAACCCAAACTCATGTTTTAAAAAGGAACCTATTTTGAAAGAACCTTTCCTGGTTGAGTGGATGAATTTAGAAATCTGGTAACAGATTTCAAGATCCAATGAAGCTTTAGTGGCACCCAGGCAAATTTCAGACACACTCTTTCTGTCAGGTTAATCACAGTTTACAGAGTAGGAGCAAGGAGAAAATAAGTGAAAAATCTTGGGACTAAAAAATGTTTGGAATGAGTATAACAAGTATGAAAGAATTTTTGAATTCACATGTTCAATAAAATAAGCTTATTCTTTTGTGTAGCATACTATTTATTCATTTACCCAATATTAAACATTTTCTGTGTCAGTTATTTGTAGGTGCTGGGGATACAGCAGTGAGCAAACAAGAATTTTGAGCAAAGGAGTCATTATTTGACTTAAGTTTTAAAGGGGTCATTGCTTTGTGGAAGATAAACTGAGTGGGAGCAGGGAAACTGGTTAAAAAGGTTTTTGCAATACTATCAGCAAGATGATGATGGCTTGGACTAGAGTGGTAGTATGAGAAGTAATCAGATTCAAATTATTTTTGAAGGTACAGCCAATAGAATTTTCTAATGGGTTGGGTATGAGTCATGAGAAAAAAGAAACAGTCAATGTTTGGGGCCTGAAATAAGGAAAATAGCAGAGGAAAAGGTTTGGGAATAGGGAGTAGAAAGAATTCAGTTTTGGTCAAAGCTTGAGATGCCTGTTAGACATCTAAATGGAGATGTCTGGAGTTAAAGGTCATGCTGGAGATAAGTGAGAGTTGTCAGCACAGAAACTACTTCAAGCCATTGGATTGGATGAGATTACAAAAGAGATAAATGTAGAGAAAAGGTGAGATAACCTGAAATTGAGAGATTGAGAGAATGGGGATCTAGCTGCTGACACAGAAGCACTTAAAGAGTAGTGTATGGTATGGAAGCCAGGTTAAGACTGTATTTCAAACTATACATACAGGTTATACTGTACTGCATTTATGGTTTAACTTCAAATTTTAAGAAAGTATGTCACCAGGGAATAATCATTATGTTAAATGCTGCTAATAGTTGTATTTGATGTATTTGAGAATTGACAGTTCATTTAGCAACATGGAAATCATGGTGATCCTAACAAGAACAGTAAAAATCTGCCCAAAAAGATCAAGAAAGATTACAAAGACATGAAAGGTTAACAAGAATAGTCTATTAAGTATTTTATTTCAAAGGGGATGAGAAATGAAATAACAGCTGAAATCAAAGGAAGTTTTTTGGTTTAATTTGGGAATGTGTTTATATGCTGATGGAATGGTCCCGAAAAGAAAGTAAGTTGTGCTGTGCTAAGTGGCATGCACATTAGGGTCTACATATACATTAGGATCCATATAATGTGAATCCTTGGTTCTTTTTAGAACCATAAGTTTCCTGGATCTATCACCTATATCATTAATTCATCTATCATTTAGTGAGCACGCATTTTAAGCAGCATTAGGAGATTGGTTAAGAAATTCAGCCTCTGTTCTTGAGTTTACAGTCAAACTAAACAGTAAACGTAATGAAATAAAAGCATGTGCAACATTAACATTTTCGAATTATTGACAGTTCTTTCTAAAAATCTCCATGTCTCAGCTATTTGCACCTAGTAAGTGTGCTCAAGGATTTGGTTACAATGCCTGATACTGAGGGGGAAGTCCCAGATACTTTGAATCCCAATCTAAGAAGAGATGAACTGAGTATTTATAAACCTTGGTGAGGAGAAGAATTTGGGACAAGAAAACCCCAAGGATTAGCAGGAATAATAATTTTAATGTTACCAGCTTCTTCTACACATTTCCCCTATGCTGAACTCCATGTATCACCAGCTTTCTATTTGAAGTGGCAGAGTGAAATAATTTTAAGTTTGTAAAACAGGGGAAAGACATTTATTAGGCATGTTGTTGCTGTTATTTGCCATCGAGTCAGACCCGACTCATGCCAACCCCTCCTTGGGTTTCTGAGGCAGTATCACTACGGAAGTAGATTTGCCCAAACTCTCCTTCCAAGGAGTGGCTGGTGGGTTTGAACCGCTAGTCTTCTGGTTAACAGTCAAGTGCCTTAGGCACTATGCTACCAGAGCTTCCTTATTAGGCACAGGATAGGTATTTTTTTTTTATGTTTCTAACTGTACACACTGAGGTGAGGGCAGGGAGTAAAGTCACTTGCAATGTGGGGTTTTTTAAAGCCAGAGTGATACAAAATCATCACATCTGTACAGCCTATCTATACAGTAAATAATTGCTGTGCCTAGAAACCCTAATCATGGAATGTAGTGCCTTGTTGAGCAAGATTTGATTGAGTCCAGATTTGTCCATACCATTTCTTGTCTGCAATTAAAAAGTTTTACTGCTTTTCAGCGTTTTCCCAGAAGAGTGAACAGCTTCCACAACTTCGGGACACTGTGGAAGAGCTTCTTGCGTGGAGAGTTCTGAGGTAATAAAGTACAAGAAGATAAAAGTTGGTTTCCTGATGCTGTTCTTTCCAGCATATTTTCAGCACAAAGAACAATAACGCACCCACAAGTTTCATCGGTGGAAAAAGATTATATTCGTGTAAGAGGAGTTAATCTTTTTGTTTCTTACTTCATCTCCGCCTTACAGCTATATATCGGACAACCCAGTGTTTTTCCTACCAAGTGGCAGCACAGGAGTCTGGTGGTATAGTGGTTAAGGCATTTGGTTGTTAACCCAAAGGTTAGCGTTTTGAACCCATCAACCTCTCATTGGGAGACCGATGAGGCAGTCTGTTTCCATAAAGATTTACAGCTTTGAAAACTCTATGGGGCAGTTCTACTCTGTCCTACAGAGTCACATGAGTCGGATGAGTCAGTGGCAGTGGGTAACTGGCAGCACTTAGTTCTCACAGTCTCAACACAAAAAAGTTGTTCAGTCTTATGCATTTTTGCTCAAAATACACACTAATTTCCTAATAGAGCCTGGTCTCTCATTTTATCTAAGCATGTTCAAGGGTATTTAAAACGTCATCCCTGCATTTTGTACCTCAAAAAGGGTTTGCTTTTCTCCAGCCTTAGCTCCCGGAACCGGCGACTCAAGGACAGCCGTAACGCAATCACGTGACAAATGGGAAGGCAGCTAAAGCGCCTTCTGCTTTCAGTAGTCAGGAACACCAGCGTTTTTGGTTCCTTAACGCTTGCGCAAAGGCAAGAAAAGGTAGTTCCGGTTCCGGTGTGACTGTCACTGTTCCCGGTGTTCAGTTGTCGCGGTTGGTGGGCAGTAACAGAGCCAAGATGCTGCGAAATCTTTTGGTGAGGAGTTTTCCGATTGCATTCGTGACAGGAGGTTAGAAAAGTGGGCTAAGGCGTCCAGGGGCCACAACAGAAAAGCCTCTCCTGAAAGTGGGTAGAAGGCATCTTCTGAAGTCACCTTGGGTCGCCGCGTCCTTTTCACCTGACCTTGTTTTCCCTTCCATCCATCCTTTGGCCACGCCAGCTGGGTGGATACAGGGATTGCAGAGGCTGAGAAAATGCCCGTAGGATTGTGGGTTAGACTAGTGTTGGCCTCTTTGTCCCCATCACTTGATAGATCATTGCTAAGGTTAGTAGGTTTGATCCGAGTAGAACCAAGTTCCAGGTGGGGAATTTCTGACACCTGAAAGTATCAGGAAGAGCTCTGGTGGCGCAGTGCCTAAGGCATTTGATGCTAACCAGAAGGCTGGCGGTTCAAACCCACCAACCACTCTTCGGAAGGACGGTTGGGCAATCTACTTCCGTAGTGATACTGCCTGGGAAACCCAAGAAGGGGGTCGCTGTGAGTCGAATCCGACTCCACGGCAGCGGATTTGGTTTTTTTGGTTTAGGAAGTATCAGGCAGAAAGATGCTTGCTTCCATGTTGCCAAGTTTCAGGGGTTCTGATCTATGTGAGTATCAGAGGGTGGTTTAAAAACCAGTTCAGTTTTGAAATGAACATAAGTTATGACTGAAAGGCTGTTGCTTCCGTGACGTGGAAAGCATTCTACTGTGCTTTCACCCCTATATTGACTTTGAGTATGTGAAATAGTTTTCCAAAATTTCGAATAACAAAATCAACAGTAATCGTTTTCTTTCGTAATTATTCAATAATATTTGATTTGGCATCCAAATATATTACTTCTTGTAGAACATGGAATACATATCTGTTTCTCTATTTAGTTCGAGTAGATGTATAATGCAGTATCTTTTTAAAAAAGGTTTATACAGTATTAAAGACTTTAGGAAAAATGTAATGAGGGAGTATTTTAATTAAATACGAATCGTGCTGTGTGTTTGGACTCAGATAATAGATTGTTTTAATATTTGGTAGGATATTAAAAGATTCATATGTAGTGTATTTTGGTTAACCATTTTTCATGTCTGTACTCCTCATCTGGGAGCTCTGGTGATACAGTGCCTAAGGCACTTGACTGCTAACCAGAAGGCTGGCGGTTCAAACCCACCGGCCACTCCTTGGAAGGAAAGTTGGGCAATCTACTCCCGTAGTGATACTGCCTCAGAAACCCAAGGAGGGGTCGCTGTTAGTCGGGTCCGACTCCACAACAGTGAATTTGGTTTTACTCTTCATCTGTCATGTTTTCTCAAGGATAATAAAATGCTGCTAGTTCAATTAAAGGTGATTTTTTTTTTTTTCTGGTCAGAATCTGCATTAATTGCTTCTTGGATATGGTCTTTGGAGATTGTACAATGTAATATGAAGAGCAGTGAATGGTTTACAAATTGGAAAACCTAGATTCTGGTCCATGACTACCTGACAAATCAGATATGCACCAAGTCTGAAATTCCCTGTACTATAATATGAAAGATTGAAAGTGGCTAGTTTTGCAATTTCTTCAGTCCCTGCATTTATTTAGTATATATACGTATTTTCCATTTCAGGCTGTTCGTCAAGTTGCCCAGAGGACCATAAGTACTACTGCACGCAGACAGTTTGAAAATAAAGTCCCAGAGAAACAAAAGCTATTTCAGGTACTGAAATATTTTATAGGAAATTGTTATTCATAGTATGCAGATTATCAAAAAGTGAAGAAAGGAAGTAAATCTAGAGAGGTTTGCTTGTTACTGATCCTGTTGCACTAGCAAAAGAATAATGAGAAACTATTGACAGCTAACTGGGCATTTGCTTTACCCAAGATAATTTTGGGAAAGCAGAAAGAGAAACGAGGGAACAGAGTATTGGCCAAGGACACTGCCTTTGGAGAAGTTACTTTGAGTTGAGATTCAGGAGTGGACAAATAGATGATAGAATAAAGAGGCCATTTAATTTGATATGAATGGATTAGCCTTTTGATACTTAACTCTTTTGGGAAATGAATACACATCTATTAATGTTTTTATGTTTTCACCTAGGAGGATAATGGAATTCCAGTGCATCTGAAAGGTGGGGCAGCTGATGCCCTCCTGTACAGAGCTACCATGGTTCTTACAGTTGGCGGTAAGACACTTGAAATATTTGCAGGTTTATAGAAAAGTAATAGTAATAACTGAACAATTCCATTGCTCTTACTGTGCCATTATTTTAACCTGGCAGCCTGTCTTTAGAATCAGAAAGCTTACTGCCTTTCATATAAAGATTTAAGAAAGGGATTAATGCATATTATATAAAACCACACTCACTACCATGGAGTCGGATCTGACTTATAACGAGTCCTCCTTGGGTTTCCGAGGCGGTATCACTATGGAAGTAGATTGCCCAACCTTCCTTCTGAGGAGTGGCTGGTGGGTTTGAACTGCCAGCCTTCTGGTTAGCAGTCACATGCTTTAGGCACTACGCTACCAGAGCTCCCGCATATTATATAGGAGTATCTTAAAGTCTCTTTGGAAAAAATATACCAATGAGTTTTGGTGATTATCATCTGACAGAAGTTACTTTCTGAGTGTGCTTCTAGTAGCCCCAGAGACTATTTTTTTCAGCCAAGCACATCAAGTCTAGTACTAGACAACTAATATCAAGTCTACTTCATATCTTAGAGCAGAGGCTTTTAAACCTTTGGACTGTGATCCATAATCAAAACTCATTTTATATCAAACCTCTGTATATATGTATTTATGCCTGAAACAAAACTCATACAAAACAATACTTAACTGTATGTACAGGGGTTTGATATTTTCTATTTCATTTCTTAGAAAAAGAAAGTGAATTACAAGCTGCAAAATTGATTTCATGACCTGCTACTGAGTTGCAACTTACACTTGAAAGATCCAGTGTCATCCATTGGCATTGGTTTTATTTTATCTTTGTGTGAAGCCATTTTAAGCCTTTAATTTGAGCTAGAACTTGTACTGGGGAGTAAGTCCTTAGGTTCTCATAGTTTATATTTTTACCAAGTGACAAATAGCACTTACTATTCAGATAACATAACTTGGTGGTATGATATAGTGTAGCTTGGTGGATACTCTAAATTGGTCTGAGAAGACCTCTGAGGAAGTGACGTTTCTGTTGAGATTTGAATGACCAGGAGGAGATCAGGCCAGGGCAGAGTGATTGCCCCTGGAGTACGGAGCTTACCAGGAAGTCAGAGATGCAGGCAGAGGCCAGATAATGAAGGGCTTTATAAGCAAGAGTTAAAGCAGATAGATGGATTTCATTCTAAGTGCCATGGGAGGGGAGTAATATAAACTGATCTGTGCTTTAAATTAGTATACTACGGTAATGTGCTGAAAAAAGATAATTGATATACTTTGTCAGCATTTGCTTTATGTCAGTGATTCTCACATTGGTTTAGACTATAAAGTACCTAGGATAATTTGCAGAACTTTGTTAATAGTCATATGAGAAGAAAAGTTTCTCAAGTTTGACAATGACAATATAAAATCACTTCATATTCATGTAGTCAATTAAATGGCTGACGAGTTGCCAAACGAAGCAGACTGCTCCTTAATGTTTTTTATTTGTCTTTTAGTTATTTGTTACTTGCTGTTATTTGACATGACAGCAGGTACCAGTGGCAAGAAAAGTATGTTTTTGTGGATTGGGTGGGTACATTGTTCAGTATTAGCACGGGAGAATCAAAAATAAGGGAACTAGGAGCAGGGTTAGGAATTTGCCCTTTGGGGATGAAGGCAAGCAATATTGAGTGTGTTCATCATATCGGTAGGATTGCCACATAATAGATTTATATAACCTTTGCATGAAATCCATGATGTATATTCATTTTAAAGATGAAGAGCTTATGTTAATTATCCAAGATAACATTTTTAAGTGAAAAAGCTGGAAGTTGAACCCTTATTGCACGGTTCCCCTGTTCATTCCAAGGTGCCTTCTATGGTTTTAATTGAATACAGTTAAAGTAGAAGGGACTTTTATGGATCAAGACAGATAGTGACATTTCAGCTTTCTTAATGAAATAAAATCCTACTTTTTTTTTTTTTTTTCGGCCAGTGTGACTATTTCGTAGACATTCTGGTAATTAGTTTTTTTTTTTTTTAATTGTTTTTAATTTTTTTTTTTAATTGTGATTTGGGTGAACATTTACAGAACAAATTCACTTTCCATACAACAGTTCACATATACTTTGTCTCATGACATTGACCACAGTTTACCACAATGCATCAGCTCCCCTCCCGCTTCGTCCCCATAGTTACCTCTTCCCAGTGTCCATCCCTCTGTACTCTCCTGCCCCCTAAGCTGTCTCCCTGTGCATAAACAGCCCTTCTCCCATGATTGTTATCTCCAAGGAGTGTATCTACTTGAGGTAAATGTTCAACTCATATGCCTGTATTTTGTTTGGCTGGAAACCACAGTTGTGGGTTCAATTCCAGACCTGAAGGGCAACTAGGGGCCATAGTCTCAAGTGGCTCCACCAGGCTCTATTGGACCAGCAAACCTGGTCCCCCCCCCCCTTTTTTTCTCCCTCCAAACGACTTTGAGTTTTATTCCACATTGTTCTCCCTCTCTATCAAGGATCTCCTACATAGATCCCCTTCCAAGTGGATGACAGTGGTAGCCAGGCACCATCTAGTTCTGGTCTCATAGTCATATAGGCTGCAGATCAGATGGTGTACCAGTCGCTAGGACTAATTGTTTCCATGAATTTTGGTTTTCTTCATTCTTCTTTGCTCTGAACGAGGAGAGACCCATTGTTGCATCCAGATGGCAGCTTGCTAGCTTTTAAGATCCCAGTCGCTACTCGCCAAAGTAGGAGGTGGAACAATGTTTTATATAGTATGTTATGCCAATTGAGCTTGATATCCCCTGCGACCATGGTCCCAAGCCTGCAGGTTCAACTACTCGGTCCCTCTGGGTAGCTGGCTGTGACCAAGCCATGACCACAACCTTGCCCCTGGTCAGCTCTACTATACACCTGGGAATTCTGATCATTCACATAAACTTATAGGACCATTGTCTGCCAACCCTATACATGTTCTTGGATATACTCCCCATTTCATAGACATACCTAATCATTCAGCCTGTCTACCCATCTATCCACCCATATACCCATGTTTGCCTTCACTGACAACGTAGTACTGTATGTGCAAATGGGTTCATCTTTGTTGTCTGTACCTCCTATGTACCTCTCTATGTCTTTCTCTTCCTCAGTGCTGCCATATTGGTCACTCTCATTTAGTACATTGCCCTTCTCTTCAGCCAAATCAATACTTTTCTCTATCTATCTAACAGCTTCCTTTCCCTCCCCTCCCACCCCTGATAACTGAAAAGAAAATTTCCTTCTATAGATAAACCTTTCCTTAACTTTTACAATAATGAGCTAATACAATATTTGTCCTTTTGTGATTGACTTATTTCACTCAGCATATTATCCTTCAAGTTCATCCATGTTATATGGTGTTTTGCAGATTCTACATTATTCTTTAGCGTTGCATAGTATTTCATTGTGTGTATGTCTGGCAATTAGTTTTAAAAATAAAATTCTAGTTATTATCTATTCTTTCATTAAATTTTTATTATTTTAAGATTATTACACTGATAATATACTTTAGGGAAGGTTTGCATTTTTTTTTAAACCTCTTTTTATCTTTTGACTCATTCTTAGCATTTCTTAGGTTAGTATGATCATAAGTTGACAAATACATTATTGTGCCATAGCTAACACTGTTTTTAGAAGTAAACTATATTAGACCTAGATAAAATGTGTTTTTATGTGTATTTTAAATGTTGCCAGTACCTTTCAAAATACTTCTTGTATTCCCAAAAAAGTGGTCTTAATGCCAGACTTGCCTTTATTTTTTAACTTCTGGATTATTAGTACATTTAAATTTTGAATTTCTCACAAGTTTTGTTTTTATTTTTCAGGAACAGCGTATGCCTTGTATCAGCTGGCCATGGCTTCATTTCCCAAAAAGCAGGATTGACTTCAGTTTATCATTCCAGCAGTTGGTTCAGTGTAATTCAGTGCTTTGTGGACCAATAATCTGATAAATAACTGCTCTTCTTTGGGGATCAATATTTATTGACTTGTACTAACTGCTACCAATAAAGCAGTCTTTACCATGCTTACTCTTATTTTACCACTTTTCATATACATTTCACCAATAATTTTAGTTTTTGGTCAGCCTTATAAATTTCAGGTAAGGAGTGAAAAAAAAGCTTATATAAAGTACCATTATTTTGATGTTATTTTAGTGAAATTTTATTTTTAGCACCTCAGAATTGCACAGTGGGTTGACTTTAGCTTCATTTGAGTTTGATACTTGATATACTTTATTTTATTTCCCCTTTGAGGATGTAGTTTATATCTGGGATATGCTAGAACCTGGGGCTAGGGGATGGGGGGTGGGGAATTGGCTCGTGGGGTCTAAGTTTAATATTTTTTTCTCTTATCCATGTGAGATTATGAATAAATAGTGGATGTGTTCCAGAGATTAGAATTAGGCTTTAAGGAGAAGAGTGGCTGTAAAGTAATTTATTATTTGCTCCTCTATCACAATTAGAATAGGCTTCTGTTTTGTTAATCCATAACAAACAGGCATTCCTTAAAATACTTAGTTCCTTTTTAAAGTTTATAAACTACTAGTCCAACTTTAGTGTTTCCTGTACAAGATATATACTTGTGACACAGGATGATTGGAGTACTGTTTACCAGATTTAGGGAAATCTGTGACTGAAGATTTTATAAACTTAAATTTCTATATAAAATTGAACAAGTATTATAGTTGGAGAGATTGTGTCAAGTGTGAAATAACCATTTCCTATTCAAACCCACCTGCCACTCCTTGGAAGGAAGGTTGGGCAATCTACTTCCATAGTGATACTGCCTCAGAAACCCAAGGAGGAGTCGCTATGAGTTGGGTCCAACTCAGTGGCACATAACAACAACAACAACAACAACAACAACATTAAAACACAGGCTTCTGGTAAAAATCCATCTCAAAAAGTAACCAGTGAAAGATGTCTAAGATACAGAGGCTCTTGATGGCCATATTGGCTAACCTGCCATTAAGTGCAGCAATCTGCCCACCTTCTGACAGAATCTTACTAATATTAGCAGAAAATAATGCTTTTGAAGGGCGTGGGAGAAACAGTATTAGACATTGGTAAATATTGAGAAAGTTCCTAAGTTCGGGATTTAGTCCAATTTGGGACTTCAGAGCTAAAAAGCAGCCACTGACAATACTTTGATACAAGCTATATCACCATTTTACAAAGATTTTAGTTGACTATTATGTTATTTGAAATGCTTTTATGAAATATAAAAGATAATTATTTTATAGTAAAAAAAAGGGTGAAATTGTTTTTGGCCTCAGTGAAACAGTTCATAAAATATTTCTAATAAGTTTTTTATGATAAAACGTTCGGACTATGTAGACATGGCAGGATTGAATAAAGTTAGATTGTGTTTAAGATACTTAAATTTTATTAAAAATTCACCTTTCCCCTAATACTCTGCAATGTAACCACATTTAGATCAAATGATCATGAACAGAGCTAGTCCAGCTGGTAAGGTGCTGTTCACTTGAACAGGTGCTGTTGTGTGGAAAGGAAACTCTGTCTAATTCAGGTAGTGACTTTTTTCCAGATGCTTTCCATTAAATTCTTAAATATTTACAGAGTTTTCAGATTGCAGTAAATATACTGCATGAGAAAAGATTAATACGAATGGAAAGCATTTCTTACGTCTTGAAAATTTTATAATGTTTGAGAATTTCGTTGGGGATACTTTTTATATTGAACCCTTTTGACTTTACAGTCCTATGACTTTTTGCTTTCAGTGAAAAGTCAGCGAATCTCCAGACTGGAGAATTATGAAGAAGTTTGCTGACCAGGCACTGTGTTTAGAAATCCTTTTGCACCACAGTGCCACTGCTTCTCAGAAAGCCCACTCTTCAGCAGCATTCCAGGAAATGGGAAGGGAAAAGAGAAAACGGTTTCTTCCCTTCTACTAAAAGACTCAGGCAACTTAAAACCTTAGTGCTTTCTTTCTTAACATGTCCAAATTTCAATACTTTCTGTGATTTGAACACTTGTTTAGAGTGCTTGCTTCGTATTAAACTTCTTTGTCTATTTAAAAAAAAAAAAAGATGTTGGAAAATAGAAGGACTGAAAATGCCCACCAATCCAATCTTTGTTAGCTTTATCACATGCTGTTCAAGAATACCTGTATTACTAAATAGAAGAAGTTCCATGATGATGTTACTCTATTGGTATAAATACCTGATGAGATGTAGTTAGTCATATCCTCCAAAGTACATTTGTGGTGTAGTTATTATAGAAATTACTGTTAAGTTAAATTTACAGATGAAACAAACTAAAGCTCAGAGAGGGTATGCAGGTTTATCCCAAGCTACCAAAATGAATGGCAACAGATTTCATATCCAGTTTTATCTGATTCAAAAAGAGTCCAGTATATATCTTGCGGGTTTCATCGAAAATTGATTGGATTTTCAGTGCATTGTTAGTGTTCAAATAGAAATATCCTGGGGACTTCCGTGTCTCATACAGATTTCTTGAATGATTAGTTCTGTCTCCAGTTTCATTGTTGAATTTCACATTGATATCTGTAATTGCCACTTACCTACCCAGTTAGCCTCATTTCCCCATTCTTCCGTTATGTATTTGAAATACAAACTCCTTATACCTCTCAGCACTGACCATATTGCTTTGCTTCCTCTGGGGCATGGTTATTCATTCTTTATGTTTCAGAGCAGTTTGTTCTGGCAATCCATATTTTCGGTATTTAACACCACCACAATTCAGAAGGGTCAACTCTTCTTCTGTCTTCTTTATTCTTTGTTCAGCTTTCACATGCATATGGGGGATTGAAAATACCATAGCTTGGGTTAGGTGAACCTTCGTCTTCAAAGTGGTATCTTTGCTCTTCAGCACTTTAAAGAGGTCTTTTGCAGCAGATTTTCCCAGTGCAATTTGACATCTGATTTCTTGACTCTACTTCCATGGATGTTGATTGTGGATCCAAGTAAAATGAAATCCCTGACAACTTCTCTCCATTTATCATGCTGCTGCTTATTGGTCCATTTGTAAGGATTTTCATTTTCTTTGTGTTGAGTTGTAATCAATACTGAAGACTCTGGTCTTTGATCTTCATCAGTATGTGCTTCAAGTCATATTCACTTTCAGCAAACAAGATAGTGTTTGCATATCACAGGTTGTTGATGATGCGTCTTCCTCCAGTCCTGATGCCACGTTCTCTGTATAGTCCAGCTCCTCAGAATATTTGCTCACCATACAGATTGAATAAGTATGATGAAAGGATACAATCCTGATGCACTACCTTCCTAATTTTAAACCATGCAACATCCCCCCTTATTCTTTTTGGACGACAGCCTCTTGGGCTGTGTACAAGTTCCTCATGAGCACAAGGAAGTATTCTGGAATTCCCATTCTTCTCAATGTTATCCACACTTTGTTATGATCCACACAGTCGAATGCTTTTGCATAGTCAATAAAACAAGTGAACATCTTTCTGGTATTTGCTTTCAGCAAAGATCCATCTGACAGCAATATTCCTATTCCACATCCTCTCCTAAATCCAGCTTGCATTTCTGGAAGTTCCCTGTCAATATACTGCTGCAACCGTTTTTGAATTTAGTAAAATTTTACTTGTGTGTGCTATTAATTATATTGTTTGATAATTTCCCCACTCTGTTGGATCACCTTTGGAATGGCTGCAAATATGGATCACTTCCTGTCAGTTGGCCAGGTAGCTGCCTTCCAAATTTCTCGGCATAGATTAATATTGCCTGCAGCATGGCATCCGTTTGTTGAAACATCTCAGTGGGTATTCCATCAATTCCTGGAGCCATGCTTTTCGCCAATTCCTTCAGTGCAGCTTTGGCTTCTTTCAGTACCATTGGTTCTTAATCATATGCTGCCTCCTAGATGTTCTAGTTGAACATCAACCAATTCTTTTTTTGTACAGTGATTATATTCCTTCCATCTTCTTTTGATGCTTCCTGCATCATTCAATATTTTGTCCATAGAATCCTTCAGTATAGCAACTAGAAGCTTGAATTTTTTCTTTGGTTCTTTCAGCTTGAGAAATGCTGAATGTGTTCTTCCCTTTTGATTTTCTAACTCCAGATCTTTGCACATTTCATTGTAATAATTGACTGTCTTCTCAAGCTGCTCTTTGAAATCTTCTGTTCAGCTCTTTTATTTTGTGATTTCTTCCATTTGCTTTAGCTACTCTATATTCTAGAATAAGTTTCAGTGCCTTTTCTGACATCCATTTTGGTTTTTCCTTCCATTCCTATCTTTTTAACGACATTTTGCTTCCTTTATGTATGATGTTCTTGATGTCATCCCACAATTTGTCTGGTTTTCAGTCATTAATGTTCAATCAGTCCTTCAGATGGTCTCTAAATTCAGGTGGGATATAATTAAGGTCATATTTTGGCTCTCATGGACTTGTTTTAATTTTCTTCAGCTTCAACTTGAATTTGCATATGAGCAATTGATGGTCCCACAAGCAGCTCCTGGCCTTGTTTTGGCTGGAGATACTGAGCTGCTCCATTGCCTCTTTCCACAGATGTAGATTTGATTCCTGTGTACTCCATCTGGTGAGGTGCACATGTATAGCTGCTGTTTATGTTGTTGAAAAAAGGTATTTGCAATGAATAAGTCTTTGGTCTTGCAAAATTCTGTCATGCAATCTCTGGCATCATTTCTATCACCAATCCCATATTTTGCAACTACCAGTGATTCTTCTTTGTTTCCAACTTCTTCATTCCAATCACTAGTAATAATACATCTTGATTGCATGTTTGGTCAATTTCATCCTGCAGAAGTTGGTAAAAATTTTCAATTTCCTCATCTTTGGCTCTGGTTGTTGGTGCATAAATTTGAATAATAGTAGTATTAACTGATCTTTGTAGGCATATGAGTATTATCCTGT